ATTCTAGCCTGATGCTCCTCTCTCGCGATGGTCTGTGTCATATTGGTTAAGAGTTGCCGCTGCAAGTTTGAAATTTTAGCAGCTTGATCCTTCACTCTAGCCTAGATACCGCTGAAAGTACTTTTGTTTAATCTCCTAAGCACATGCTTCAACATCTTAAGGGACCTGATGAGCTTAAACTGAGAGGAACCTGAGATCATATCACAATTCTAAGCTTCTTTGACTGAGTCCTAAAATTGCGGTAAATCGATCAGATGATTGAAGAACTTGAAGGGCTTATTCGGCCTTCTAACCTGAGAGGGACCACGAAACAAGCATGGAGCATGATTAGATTGTTGAGGCTCCAAAAACTCCGCATATGACTCTGGGAAAGCCTATTACCAATATCGATTGATAAACGCATGATCTATTTTCTTGGATATCGGGTTGTCATCCTGATTATTCCACCAAGAAAACTGAAGACCCTTAGCTTGAGCCTCGAACAACTCTGCATCCTGCAAAGCCAAGTTGAAATCATCTATTCCTAAACATCAGTATCCATCTCTAGACTATTTGAAAGCTGGAAAACTCTCAAAATCTGGTTAAAATTCCCTACAACCGCCCAAAGATACCTAGAGATAGGTGTAGTGGCATTGAGAATGCTCAACTCATCCCAAAGGGACTGTCTATCATCCGAACTATTGAAACCATAAAAAAACGTCACGGTGAAAGACACTCTTTCCGCAGGGATGAAGATACCACAAGTAACGGTTTGAGCCAAAGACTGGTAAACAATAAGAGACACGCTTGGGTCCTATGCAACCACAATCCGTGTCGAATTGTGATGTTCAAAATTTCCAAAAAACTCTAATTTGCTGGAATAGCATGATTAATCCTTCCAGTATTTATTCCTTGTATACGCGTTTCCGAGAACGCTCCAAAAAGCGGTCTATGGATATTAATCCAGTTTTTTACCATAGTTTGGCGTTGACCCAAAAAACATGATATAATATATTATTGATTTTTTTGTGGCTTTGCGGCCACTCTTTTGGCGAGACACCAAGAAGAAAGGAGATTCTACCTCACCAGCATCAGCCATGATATCCTTAGACAGCAGTTCAAACTGATTTTTGATTTCCAGACTTCCATTACCTGGCGATGATGACTTAGAATAGGAACAATAGAAATCATTTTCCCTGTCCCTTGTGGCAGTGTAGTTTCAGGAGGAAAAGTCTCAACATTATCCACTGGCTTAACATGATCTCCATTTGAGACTGAATGGTCCCTCCGGTTGCATATTGATCTCGGCTTTTCTAATTTTTTTTTTTTTACTAGTTAATCATATAAACGAGAAGTGAATGAGACGAAAAGAGAGGCGACCTTCGATGTTGTGATGACAAAATGCAGTGATACGAAATTAGTTTGGTAAAGTTAAAACCTCAAAATTTGTATGCAAAAAACATATATTAATATGTATGTTTTTTTTTTCTTACTTTTATTGCCCTTTAAAAAAACATAAGAAAACATGTAAGAAAGATTACTTTTAGGATCTCTTGTTTTAAGAAAATCCAGCAAAAGAGAGATTCGTTAAGTTTACTTTGTTGACGTTTCACCTATGCTTACAAATTAAAAGTCAAGTTTCTTGAAAATTCAGTTTTCCTAAAGTAAGTTGCTTTTTTCTTTGTCTTTCCACAAAAGCAAACGTACGTAGACCAATTATAGTTGAAATTCACCTAACCACATGCCAATTTAGCTAATCATATTACCCAATTTATTGTATGTGGTATGTTTTAAGTATTATTTCCAATACGAATCGGGGAATCCATAATGTTAAAGTCTTTTTAACTCTGGACTCAAAATCAATTATAAATAAGTGAATCTGTTTTAGTCTATTATATATTATTGTATACCAGATGAGGACCTGCATTAATACGTGGGTAAATACATTAAAAACTAATAAGATAAATATTTAAAATTTAGATAGTACCTCCTGAATTTTAAAATACTATTTAAACATGGATCATAAAACCATTAGAAGTTAATTTATATCATAATTTTCATTTTCTAATCCATATCATGTAGATCCAAAATATATGTAATCGGAATTTAAATCATATTCTTAATAACAAAGAAAAATATATATGAATATTTATCAATTATTTGATAGAAATATTTAAAAACAAAAAAACGATAAATAATGTTGTGAACCATCACATAAGTATATAATTGATAATTTTATTTCATTAATGTCATCATTTAATTTTTCATCGAGATTTATACTCGCCAAACTTTATACACTATTAAACTAATAGTAAATATAATATTACTAATTTTTGTTTATATAAATTTTCAATTTATACAATATAATAGTATTTATTTTAAATGATTCTTTTATTATGTATGTATTATTTCTTTTTTTTATGCTCATGTCCTCTCTATATTTCACCTTAATTATTCTTTCTTAATTAGTATGGATTATTAGAAATTTTATTTCTTACGATTTGGTTACTAACTTGACAATTATTTTGTTAGTTTTCTATTTTAAATTTTTATTTTCCTTACGTGTCGCGATCTCGTGAGTTATAATTTTGCTTACGTGTCAAACTCATATAAAAATATATCGCGGTAAATATTTTTGATTTTAGAAAAGATAACTCCTATAGTTTGACTAATGTAATTGGACTCTAAATTACGATCCGGATAATATTTAAAATTTATTTTATTATTAAATCGTCAATTTATTATATTTATTTCATACTAAAATGCCTCATGCACGGTACTATATTATCAAATGACACTTACAATATGACATTTCTTTTTATCTTTAACTATTTTTTGTTTGACAATCTGATAAAAGACTTTTTTTGTTGTTGAAAGTTTAGATAAATTGAAATGGAAATAATGTATTTTGCAATATGACAATTTAGAAGTATTACC